TTTTTTTTTTTAATAGCTGCTCCAGTTAGCTTGCCCATCAAGCCAGAGTGATTTTCATTGTTAGGAGAATGAAAACTGTAGGGCCCATGATTAGTAGCAATGCATTGTGTCATAAGCTCATCCAATCACTTAACATGCAGTTCTGAACATTGAAAAGAAAATCTTCATAGTAGAGTTACTGAGAATGTTTTCTTAATATTTCTTCAAAGAATGAGAAAACATTGCAAAATGATGGAAAAATCCTATATAAATAAAATATTTTGTTTAATTTTTCTTCCATCCTTTCTCCTGGGCTGTTTAGACTACAGATAGGTTTATATTCCAAGTCTAAATCTCTTTATTTTTTATTTTTGTTTTGTATTGCTTTATTTGGTTTATTTTTTGTAATTTAGATTATTTAGGAACTAACAAAATAGTTGATTTCTGCCTGATTTTTTCTTCTTGGTTACTTTCTTTCTTTCTTTCTTTTTTTTTTTTTTAAATTAAGGTAACATTGGCTTATGTTATTGTTGGACTTTTGGAATTACAGGATTCCCAACTCTGATATTGCCACTATAGTTCATCTGCCATCAAATCATCTGTAGTCCATGTGCTACCTTCCTTTTTTTTTTTTTTAAGATTTATTTATTTATGCATCCAGAACTGTAGTACAGGTCAGAGGTGAGGGGGCTGGAGGTGTGTGTGAGAGGATTCACCAGAGACAGAGTGGGTAGCAGAACAGGTAGCTCTACTGAAATACACTGCTTAGGTAGCAGCAGGTGAGACCAGAGAGGTCTGCTGCACTATGTGGGTAGCTCCCTGGCCAGAGATGAACTCCTGCTGCAGTGGTTGCCAAAAGCTTCATAGTGCTGTGACTTAAACCCTTGCATTACCAGGGAGACCCAACAGTATGCTAAGTAATATGTTTACAATTTTATAGTGGTTTCAAGCTTAAGTTTACAATTGCTTTTAAGGTCTTTAAAATTTGGTTTTTATTGAGATCTCTTATTTTGACAGTTTGAAACTACTTTGGAAGAATGGTAAGAACCTTTCTTGTTCCCTTTGTTTCTTCATGTGCACATTTTCATGACTAACCTCCTGTAGATAATCTTCACTTCTAAAAGACCAGGAGAATGAAATCAGAACTTTTCATAGGAGGCTATCACTGAAAGTGGAAGAGTTGGGCTATTCATACTTCATTCCACCTCAAAAATAAGTATGAAAGTTGCCCCCAAAATGGTCAGGTTCAGCTTTTGCCAAAATAAGGAATCTAATTTTAAAAAATTACACCAAGAGAAAATTTAGTAAATAAAAGAGACTGCTGGATCATACTGGGAGAGGGCCGTGGCATTAAAATTACCCATTTGTCATCCCCCAGCCCACAGATTAGTGGTGGCAATGAAGAAAGCAGCCGGCACTCATGGTGTGGATTGCTAACACCAAAGGGGACAATGCAGACCTTATTCTCCAAGAATCATGGTTCCATGTTTTGATTTATCTATCTGCTGATTACTTACCAGAACAACAGTAGAGCTTGTCTTCACCAGAGTTAAAGCAATCATTAATAATGAAAAAATAATTTAGTAAAATAATAAAATAAAACTCCTGGCTATGTTGCTGATGCAGGCTTTTTAGCACTTCTGTCAGAAAAAAAATTTAGTACAATGAAAACTAGAGTAGGATTCAAGAATTCATCAGGGAAATACTGACAAATAAATATTTCATTAATCAACATATAGAACTTTTAACTGAAAGAACAATATATATGTGTGTGTATACATATGTTTATGTATATATATATGTATGTATATATATATAAAACATAATTTGGAAATTTTAATATCCAATTTGAAAAAGTTGTAAAGCTTATTCAAGTCTAAAATGGTATTTTTGCTTGTAAATTAAATTGGTTCTCTAAAATGTGATAAACTAAAATTAGAGAGATCACTCACCCCAGTTTTTCTCAATAAGATCTCCCTTTTTCTGATAGCAACACTCTTAGAAAGACCAATTTCATTCACCAAAATTGCTGCTTTAATATTTCCTCAACATTATTTGTCATTTGTCATACATTTGACATTTTTACTAATTTACTATGAAGTAATGAGCCCATACTCTATTGATTTTTTCTGTGTTAACCTTCTATATATTAGAATTAGCATGCACAATGTTTCACCACAGACATTTAAAATTCAATGTAAGAGTATCACCTAAAATTTCATTACGTTTAAGTGCAACCTTTGATATTAATTAGTTGTTTCTTTCTTATTGTATAGGAGCAGAATTTCTTCCACAAAAGACATGAAAGAAGGTTGGAGTCTTACACCACCAGTGGAAGAGGGGAAACCAGAAGAAAGAGGTAAACCTATATCTTATACTTCGATAAGTATAATTATATTTAAAAGCTCATTTACTTTTATTAATCCACTTCTAATTTTCACAATAATCACATTTCTAATTTTTTTTTAATCATATACTATCTTTGTCCTGAGTATGCAGTGATTCCTGTCTACCTCAAGAAGTTAACTGACTCAATGCTTTCAATAAAATTTTAGATGGTAATCATGTTGTATATCGCACGGTTGAATACAGAATCTGCTAGCTGCAGCTAGCTGTTGAGCATGTGACGCTTGATAGTGAGAGTGAGGAATTTAATTTTTAACTTTAACTTTAAATCTGCATTTAAAAGCGGTATTATGTTTCATTGCTACCAAATTGGACATTGCATTTCTTTCTCTCCCTCTTCTCCCCCCCTTTGACTCCCCTCATTCCCATATAAATGAATGTGTATATATGTATGTTATATATCATCATACACACACCTCACATATATATATATTATACATATGAATACAAGATTAATCTTTGTGTATGTATGTACATATGTGTGAAATAATTTATATGCTAGTATAAAATTAAAATTATATCAGCAGTTTTGAATGTATTTTTGGATTTAAGCACATCCCCTTTCCCTTATTACAAACAGTGCTTTACACATCCTCCCATAGTGAAGGATAACTAATAAAGTCACGAATGTAAAAGGAAGGTTTTTTTAATTTCAATAATGTCTTTTTTTTTTTTTAAAGATTTATTTATTTGTGAATACAGAACTGGGGTACAGGCCAGATGCTCAGGGGCGGCGAGAGACTTCACCATAGACAGAGTGGGGAGCAGAACAGGCAGATCGACAAAGCACACTGCTGAGGGGAGCAGCGGGTGGGCCAGGAGAGGTCTGCCACGCCATGTAGTCACCTCCGGGGCAGGCGGGGATCGAACTCATGCGGAAGTGGCCTTAGCTTCTCAGTGCTGTGCTTTAACCTGCTGCACCACCAGGGAGGGCCTCAATAATGTCTTTTATAGTTAGGTGGTACTCTACTGTTTTCCTTTTCACTAACTATGCCTGCAAAGAATGAAAACCTCACTCATTACTTCTTCATTTTTCACATGTCAAATGGTGGGAGAAAAGATTGAGATATTAATGGCCACAAAATATATCTGGTCAAAATAACAGCTAAATTAACTACAATTATGTTTATTATAAACTTGTATATTTGACACTAAAACATAAGACTATATCAGAAAGAGAAAGGTTTATTGTACTTGTTTCTGCTAAAAATATTGTAGATAGTTTCTCATTTATTGAATATGAAACAATTAAACTTATTGAGATGTTATTCATGAAAAAATATTGACAAAGATGTTAATATAATTAGAGATATGTTAATTTATTATACCCAGTTTTTATTTTCAAATGTGATTATAGAAACATTATATAAAACATCTTGTACAGACATAAAAGATAGCTTTCTTAATTTATAACATATATTTCTTAATATATATTAATATTAACATATATGCATACATATATTCAGTCAGAAATGATTTAATTTTAAGTCACATAAACTTCATCACATATTTCAGACTGAACTTTTGTTATAGAAATTGGATCATAATTTGTTCAGAGAACAAGTGTTCAATTTTCATGTTATTTAAAAAATAGAAAAAATTATGATATAAATTGTCCAGGACTTGTTTGAATTTGAAAAAATAAGACAATAGATCATTTACAATGAAACCAAGTAAAGGCCCTATCCACACAAAGATAATTTTTATGGATTGCAATAGAGAAACATGTTTCTCAAGTATTTTTCTTTTAGTCACCATGCTAAAATTCTTTGACAAGTCCACAAAATTAGTGGTGGAAGCAGTCACTGCTGATCTAGCCGTTATCACAATTGTGTTACACTATCTTCTATTAGAAAATTAGTGATTTGATGGTCAAAAAACTAAAAGAAAGAAACTGAACAAAACAAAGGTTTAGTGTGTTTGTCTTTTTTTTTTCTTGAACCAATTTTATTATTTTTTTTCCCTACAGCTATAGTTTGTTGGGAACTCCTTTTTTTTTTTTTTTTTTGATATTTTGTGTTTATTTATGTCTTCTTGTCATGTCACATTCTGGCAAACATCACTATTTACTAGTATAAATTTAACCAGAGTAATACGCACATCTGCCTTACTGATCCAAGAAGAGTGCAGCATATCGGTTGGAACATAACTGACTTTCTAGCCTTATCGTCCATAAATAGATGAATGAATACCTGTGTAAATCATTTTGTTAGCATTAAACTATGCCATTACAGGTCTGTGAATCTGGAGTCACAGATAATTCTCAATTAAAGGAGTTAGTTTGTTTTATAACTGAATGAGTAGAATTTAGAAATGACAATGAATTTCCGGCAAGGCTGGCCAGGAATGTTATCTGTTAAGATAAAAATTTAATGTCTTTTTTATCTAGAAGCTATGTATATTTTCAATATTTACCGGATAAAATGATTATGATTTGATTTTCTCATAGTCTACAAGAAAATATTAACCTAATTTAAAAACAAAGCTGTATAATACTGCTTGTGAAAAGAATATGTATTTTTTTCCTTCAGATTAGATGATATGCATAAAGATATTGGTTGAAATATAGCTATTGTAATTATCTTATACAATGTTCATTTAAAGTCTCTTTGCTGGGTATAAATAGTTGGTGTTGTGATTAGAGTATACTAAAACTACCTTTTAAAGGCTAATTCATTTTTCGAAAACAAATATAAATGTTTAAAAATGAATAGTGGTACCACTAATACCCACCTTCTTATTATCTGTTTTATAGACTGATTCACTGACAACTGTAAATATATATTCTTATTTTAGGTGAAAAGTGTCCAGAATTAAAGCAGGAAATGGAAACATTGCTGTCAGAGGCTATTCATCTCATTAAAAGTCTAGAAACTGACCGTGCAGAAGCAGAAGAAGCTTTAAGACAACAAAAATCAAGAAAGGAACTGATTAACCTGAAAATCGATTCATGGTCAATCTGGAGACTTCAAGAAATCCCACTAGCTGTGCAGAGAGGTAATAATAAGCAAGTCTCATATTGTTACTTACTTTGTTAGTGAGATGTGGATAATCAGTTGAAGCTTTGGGAAAAAAAAAATCATGTATCTTCAGAATTACACAGAGTAGTAGCTTGCATTCAAGTCAGTGTGCTTTGAAAGATGCCTTTAATGATCATGCCACGTCCACAGACTTAAACTGGGACTACATTGTGCAAACCTGGACAAACTGTCATTTGGCATTAGCAATTCCTTGGGATTTATGGTACCCAAAGCAATGTAAACATTTGGCCAGTAATTCCTCTAATGACTCCAGTATTTTTTTTTAGAAATCTAAAGTTACTGCCAGTTGGTGTCATTTGCCAAATGTTTAAATTTAGAAAAATGAGAATTCTAAGTGATATTTTTTAGGAATTATATGCATCTGCTTATGGGAATTTTGGAGTAAATTTGCTTGGGTTACTTCTTATAGGCAGTGAAATTTAAGATGTTTCCAAAATGTAAGCAGTTATTAAGTGTTTAAAAGTGTTTAAGAATGCTTTTGTCTACACTAGAGAGTGAGGAACCTGCGGTAAAGTACTAAACAACCCAAAGGTGTGTGAACTTTTAATTCTTATAAATCTGTGCTTACCTGATTCTGCCTGGAAATTTTATACACTATTAGGGTATACGTTTTAATTCAAGATTCACATGCTTTATAAAGGGGTTAACTTAGGATTCCCATATATCTTGTCTGTTAAACCAAGATACCTTGGAGTGAAAATGGATGTGCTCTAGAACAATAACATTCAAATTATGTGTCCAAATGAATCCACACATAGATCTATATTGTCTTCAACAAATGCAAACTAATATGGTTGTACACATTCCAAAGAGTTGCAAGAAAAATCCTTTAAAATAAAAAAATCAAATAACTTTTCAAAATATAAAAAGATTAGAACTTTTATTTATATTTCAAATTTGTATTATCTTGTAATTCTGTTTCTGAATAGTATTTATCTTATGCATATACTACTAATACAATGACATAAGTATGCAATGTGTAAATACAGACACGCACACATAAATATTAGTGATTTAGAGGTACCTAAGGTTACAGTAAAGTAGGAATAGACATCATGAGAAATTCTTAGATTTATGAACAGATTCATATTCACATCCACAGGGTATCATCTGCAGTTTAGTAAGGTATTTGGGAAGCACTTCCTTGTCAGTAGTAGTGCTAGAAATGTCAATGTCTAGGACAGCTTTAATTTAACATTTTGCTAATCAATTGATATATACTCTCATATACTCTTTATAAGAGATCTTAGTTATTATAGTTTAGGGCCTATATGTAGTTCTGCTTAAGAAAGTATAGAATAAAATTCAATTGAGATACATAAATGCTCATTCTGATGAATGCATTTTTAGATGGAATACATCCTTACCATTGGCGATTAATTTATTGTTTTGATTGTCTTTTATTTCATGCTATTAAAGATTTGCTTAAGAAACTGACATTTATATTCATCTGCCTTGTTTTAAGTAGTCGATGTACACAATGAAGTTTAATTTCATCGTTATGCATTTCTTCAGTGTTTTCTGCTTATAACTTATTAATGAGCTCTTAGGAATATGTTTATTTTATGATATGTGTTATATATAATCTAAATTTTGTGAAGTTTTTTATAAATTATATAATTACATAGTTCGTAGTTACTAGTGTCTCAATAGTTAGCCTATGTGACAGGAAAAAGTTCTTCTCTCCATGGTTTTGACATTAAATATAATGTATGCAATTTAGACATATTTTAGAAAGTTAAAGAAATTCACCTTTTTCTAGATATTTTGAGGCTTATTTTTCCAGATCTACCTATCAACAAAGCACCCCACCCCTGAATTTTATCTTTCATTTTGTGGATCATGAAATGATTTATAAAAGATTACATCAAATATATCTTTGTCATAAGTCTTCCTGCTAAGTTCAGGCAATAATAATCAGTGGCAAGAGGACCATGGAAGACAGTAGTGAAGTGTGTGGCTGAAATATTTTCACTGTGGCTACCTTCCTCTGCTTGATCACTGTATCCCTCTCATCAAAATGACAGTATGTGGTGCCTGACTGGCAGTCAATAATCTTAATAAACCTAAACCCCTTCACTCTTTCCTATTAAAGAGATAAAAGGAAATACGTTTTTCTGTCATGAATTGAGTGGTCTATGAACTTACAAATTATAAAATTGGATATGCATAGCAGTGATTTTCTATAAAAGAGTACCTTTTTTATTTACCTTTTTTATTCCTTCCTAATACAAATAAGCTAATGACTCAGACTTCCTGGCTGCTTCCAGTGTACTTGTTTCTGTACATTTCCTGTTTCCTCTCTAACCTGAATTTATGGCTCTATGTGTACTTCCCTGTGATCATCTAATGGGAGAAAAATAAAATGTATGATTTTAATGGTTTATTGACATAATATTGGAAAGTTCTATATTACAATCTCTTGAAGACAAGTCGCCTTGAAGAAGACATGCTGTAAAGCTCACAAGGAAATGGCAAAAGGTTTGACATTGTGTTCAGAAAATCTGTTAGAATATGTTGGGGATTGACCTTTCAAAAAGGATATGATACAATATGATACAAAGGTAATTATGTCTCATAAGTACTAGTAGAGTACCTCTACTATGGAGGAAGACCTTACTAATGAATTCAGCATTCAATCTTCTGTTTCTTTTTGTCAATAACAAACATCAATTGTTAGGTGAATAAACTGCTTATTACTACACCAGTCATTTGTAAAATATTTCTTTGGAACTCAATGACTGAAAACACTCCACATTTTTATTTTTTTCAATCCTAGTTCTGTAGGTTGGCTAGGGAGGATCATCTACACACAACATACTCTATGGGCTTTGCTCAAGACAGTTGGGTTCAGGTTTGCTTCATGTGTTTCTCATTGTCTTTGGCTGGTAGCTCCTAGGGACATAGTTTTCAGATGACAAATGACAAGAGTACAAGAGTGAATAGAAACATAGGATATCCCTCAAACTGTTAGCTTGAAACTGGCATGTATTCACTTGTACTCATATCCTCTGGCCAAAATAAGTAATATGTCTAAACAAAGAATTTATGTGACAAGAAAATATCTCTATCCCAAGGGAGGATAGTGAACAACAGATCTATCATTTGTACCTCGCTTCTTATGACTCTTCATGATCTTTGTTATTTTTACTATAATGTCTACATTTTATGGTGATCTCATCTATAGAAGTCAGTAGGCTTTTCTTGTTTTTTTGTTTTTGTTTTTGTTTTTTTTTGCCTCTGTTAGTATCCTAGGGATTTCATTGGCTCTATCCTATTATATTAACTTAGCTTGAATTTTGATCTCTAAATTTTCAAGCTTCAACTTTGAAGTTTTGTTTGTTTTGTTTTTTTTCACTTTCTCAAAATAATTTTCTACCCATTGCATGACTATTGAGTTTTCTATCCATGGCTATCTGTTTATGTATAAAGCAGTCCATATTTAGTTTGTAAGAGCTAGTTCATTTTTTTTTTTTACTGGTTTTAGATCTTTTCTTTTTTCTCTTTGTTTTTTAAATTAAGTTTGATAATTTGTGTCCTCTGAGGAATTTGTCCATTTCATTTTCATCGTCCAATTTATGGCCATATTTTGTTTATAGTATTCTCTTACAATTATTTAATTTTATAGTAGCCTTAGTGATGGCATCTCTCATTTTCTATTTTATTAACTTGTACACTAACTCTTTTTTTTTAGTCAATTTTATCTTTTTCAAAAATCACTTTTGGCCCTCCCTTGTGACACAGTGGGTTAAAGCACAGCACTGAGAAGCTAAAGCAACTTCCGCATGAGTTCGATTCCCGCCTACCCCGGAGGTGACCACATGGCGAGGCAGAACTCTCCTGACCCGCCCGCTGCTCCCCTCAGCAGTGTACTTCGTCATCTGCCTGCTCTGCTCCCTGCTCTATCTCTGGTGAATCCTCTCACCCTTCACATCTCTGGCCTATACCCCAGTTCTATATGAATAAATTAAAAAAAAATCACTTTTTTGCTCTTGATTTTTTTGTTTTCTAATTTTGATATAACTGATTTTTTCTCTTGCTTGATTTAAGATTAACCTGTTTCTCTTTTTATTAGGTGAATGCTTGATTATTTCCTTAATACCTTCCTTTCTGGTATAAGTATTTAAAAGTCATGAATGTCTAATTTGCATTAGTTATATTTCATAAATGTTTATATACTGTGAGTTCACTTTTATTTCATTCAAACATACATTCTAAAATCACATGTGACTTCTTTTTTGGATCTATTTTTAATAAGTTAATTTGCAAATATTTAACTATTTTCACATACATACTCTTTTGATTTTATTTCTAATTTATTGTGTAAATGGACAAAACCAACGCATGTCAGAAAACGAGGTTTTTATTTTTTTAATTATTTATTTTTTGCATAGAACTGGAGGTTAGGCCAGAGGTGCAGGTAGTGTGTGTGTGTATGTGTGTGTGTGTGAGAAGGAGAGAGACAGAGACAGAGTAGTGTTTATATACTTATTCTACTGAAATACACAGCTAAGGGAGCAGCTAGCAAGACAGAGGCTGCTGTGCCATATATGGGTCAGCTCTCTGTCTAGGGTTGGAACTCAGGCTACAGCTGTGGGCCTTCATGGAGATAGCTCTGAGACTTCATTACCAGGCCACCAGGGAGGCCCCTGGAGCCATGATATTCTTGAGTCTCCTTTGTAGTATATCTACTGGGTACAATAAACTGGGGACAAAGCCTAAGATTCATCCAAATCACACGTGTAATTAGAAGTAAAGGCATGATGCTGACAACCCAGTGTTCTTTATTTCAGCATGAGAATGACATATGACTAGACCTGACATCAGAGAGAACAGCAAGGAGATTTACTTGTTTCACTTAGTCAGTGAAAGAAAACAAATAAAATACTTTATAATTCTTAATGTACTGATCCTAATGAACTGTGACTGAAATTCTTGATCTCTATGTGTCTAACAAATAAGTGGAGAATATTTTAATATGAAATATCCTAGAACTCAGTAACATTCAGATACAATGAGTGTGAATAAGTGTGAACAAGTAGTAACAGAAGATGACTCAGTTTCCAGATATTGGATTATACATGAGATTACAAGTATGCAGGAAAATGGTAAGATAATGAGAAAAGTATAGTTCAGAAGATAGAAAAACATGTTGGATCACTAAAAAGAGAATAATGAAAAAACAAAAAAAACAATGGCAAGTTTAATCAAGAATTTAGTAAACAATATACGTAAAATAAATATGAATAAAACAGTGCATAAAATGTGGAAATGATTAACAATAATGAAGATATTTAGAGCAGCTTTTTTTTTGATATTGAAACTTTTATGAACTAGATAAATTCACAGAAGAATGTATTGATGAATAAATATAAATATTGATAGCTGTGAAGAAAATTTAACTATAATAAAAATTGTCCTGTGAAAAATAACAACACTTATGCTAAAGAAGTGGGCTTTACCTTCAAACTCGTACAAAAATCTAAGTACAGATATAAAAAGAAGTTACTAATATGCTAAGCTAACAAATTAGGAACAAAATTAGATGAACACAATATAAATATAGAAATCTAGAGCCCGAGACCAAAGCTATAAATGCAAAATAGCTTGAGTGAAGGCATCAGGAAATCCCAGACAGTAAGTTACTTAAAAAGATTTAAAAAACACAAGATAGCTTCCAGTTCTATTCTAAGACTGCAAGGTTAGTTTAACATTAGAACTTTAATTAATAATAATGAGAAATTTTTACCTGCTTCTCTAAAACTGTCCCAGTCTGTTGGTTGAGATTTATTTATATTTATAAATTAGTTGATAATTTCTGTATTATAATTCAAGCTAATTTTATACAAAACAAATGACTTATGCATTTATTTGAACTTAATTTTTTGGTGTTTGATAGCGTTTCATCTTTTTCTTATATAGACTTGCACAATTTCATTAGATTACTATTACATTTATGCATTTCAATTTTTTTGTGATGTTCTGCCAGTTCAAGGATTATTCTGTTTTCACTATAAAGATAAACTATTTTCCATATTAATTTTACATTAGGTAATATCCTTTGTATATGTTTTTAGTTGTTCTTTGGTGTTATGATACATAATTATCAGAAAATAATAATAATTTGTCTTCTCCATTCTGATGTTTGTACTCCTGCCTTATTTTTTTTTCTTTTAGGTAGTTTTGAGAATTGTAATTTTTCTCACTTTGGAGTTACCTACACTGGCTATATTGATTATAATAAACTGGCTTTGTACCAAACAATTATTAACTTGCGAAGCATATATTAATCCTTTCAATGATGAGTGAAATAAGAAATATATTCTACCAAGCAGGACTCTAAGAACTTCTTTAGATTTACTAAGGTTCTTAGATGTGTAGTTTCTGAAACTGAGGCATCTCATATTTATCTATTGTCAAGTGAAGATCTTTTCTGGAGCTTTTGATGTAAAATCTAATTTTCTCTTGCTCTTATCATTGTGTGCATAGAACATGAAGCCTATCTGAGAGATATCATAGAACTACAGTGGCATTTTGAACATAAAGCTCATCAACTAAAACTTTTAAAAGGAAAAAAGACAGAATTTGAAGAAACTAATTTTAAGCTTCAAGAGGACATAGAATACATGAAAGAACACACACCACTGTTGATCTCAAAGCGGAACCGTGAGCTTGAAACTCTAAGAGAATGTTATAAGAAAAAATTTGAGGTAAATGAATAAAAAAATGATTATATATATATATATTTTAAATGATTATATATTTTACAGCTTTGTTCGTTTGTTTTGCAATAACATTTCGGTAATAAATTAACATATCTTCAAAGTTTTAAAGCTTAAATTGAAGGTTTTATTTTCATTGAAAATTCACCTGCATTTTATTTACCATTTACAAGAGGTCAACTTTATTTATTTTTTGTTATTTTTCTAAAATTTTATTGGTTTACAAATAATTTATATATCTAGTTAACTATGGTAGTAAATGTCACACCTATCCCCATTAGAGCTTCAGGGCCAACAACTCCCATGTTGGACATCCCCTAGTAACCAGGCTATTTTTTCAGTCTAAGAATATTTTTTGTTGTGTTCTGCCAGTTTGTTGTCTTTGGCTATTTATATGCATCCATTTATATTCTGTCATGTACTAACTGTGTTTACCTGCTGACTTATTTCACCTCAAATTTCATCCATTTCATCCAAAAAGTCATTGTTTCATCTTTTTAAATAGCTGAATACTTGATAAGTATGTATTTCACAGTTTCTCTCTCCAGTTGCCTGTTCATGGCAGTCAGGTTGGTTCCATGACTTGGCTGTTGCAAATAAGCTAAATGGCCATATTATCTAAACCAGTTTATAAAGTCTCTCTGCCAAAATGCATATCTGTACACTCCTACACCTAAAGGGACAATCTTGCAGCTAGTGAGGACATTGTGCTTTTCTAAAAATTAATGAAAATTATTGCTTTCCCATGGCACATCTGTATCATGTTGTTTTACCACTTTACTCCCTGGAGCAGAACCTGCTCATTCCCCACTGCCTGTTCATACTCCCCTCCCTCCAGCTTTTTTTTTTTTTTTTTAATGTTCTTATTAGTTTTATTCTTAAAAAGTAGAAACAACTCAAATGTCCTTTAGGGGTGAACAGTTAAGTAATTGTGGTATAGTCATCCAATGCAATACTACTCAGCAATAAATAGAAACTAATTTTACTTATGAACTATAATTTGTTACATGTCAGAACATGGATAATTTTTAAAAATAATATAATAGTTTATTTTTACACCATTTTGTGCATTTTTCCATCTCAGTTGTAATCCTCATGGGCTTCCCATCACCAAGTCACGGGTGTGCCATCACCATAGTCCAGTGCACTTCCCTTCCCCCATTGTTTTTGATCCTGTTCCCCACTCCACCCCTGTCAAATGTCTCTGGTACATAGTTGTTCATTATTATTATTATTTTCTCACCTGGTCCGTTATACTCTTGCTATGAGAGAAACCATCCGGTATTTTTCCTTTTCCTTCTGGCTTATTTCACTAAGCATTTTAACAATACACTAGACCTGTAGTTCCATCCTTTACCATTACAACCACTGTTTCTCCTTCATAGAGAATTAGGAGAGGGATAATATTTATAATACTTGACAGTTAAAGGAAACAATTAACAATGGAATTTTGGGGACCTGCAAATAAAGATAATAATGGTCACTCCTGAGTTAGAGCATTACAGATGCTTTTCTTTTTTAAATTCATGCTTACTGACTGTTTCACAATAAAGTTTATTCAATAAATAAAAATATTAAAAGGTGAGTTTTCTGTTGGCAAAAGGTAATGATTTCACTCTATTAATGTGAACTGGGATATTAAAATTTTTCACTAATTTTTTATATATCCTTAGTGTGGATGTCTTTCAGGTTAAAGAAAGGGAGGCTGAAGACATGTTAAATACTAAGTATAGGGGGGAAAAAGAAGTTGTAAAAAACAATTTCTTTAAATCAAAACTAAATTTAAGTCCTTTCATTGATTTTTTCTCTTAACATGATTCTTCTAGTTAGTAATTATGCACATATATTATCAAAAATATTTTTCATTTTTAGGTAATGGAGCTATACAGACAAGTTCATGGAGAACTTGAAGCAGCCATGGAACACTGTAAAATTGTTAAGGTGAATGCTCAACGAGTTAGAGAAGAAATGGAAAGGGATATTTATTATGATGAAATAAAAATACAAGCCTACAAGTAAGACTTTTTCGTAATTGTTACTTATACTATTTAGAAATAACTGGTTAGTTTAAAATATAATATATATATTCTTGTAAAAATTTAAAGAGAAGAATCTAAATTACCCATGTGTATTTAAGTGTATATGTAAACCCAAATTATTTATCTTTTACATACATAGATACCTATTTATAAATTCCTAAAGCATGATTTTTTTGTCATTATAAAGCTGGTACATACTGTCAAGTTGTCTATGGAATAATAAATATTTATGATCTATGCAAAATGACTTCCAAAAATACATACTGCATAGGATATTACTAAAAACAAATCTTATAACCCTGTATTATAAACATAGCTTCTATCTACTTCTTATCTTGCATTATTTTATTTCTAATAAAATGTGTTTTCAATTATATATTGACTAATTGTATTTTGCATCCTAGTGTTTTTAATTATTTCTCTGATGTACTTATATTTTATGATAATTCTAATTCTTCCTTTTGGTTTCAAATTATTTATGACTTGTATGGCATATTTTTTATTTGCTCAGGATGCTCAATGATTCATTATAGGAACAAACTTATTCAACAGTATGGAAATAGAATCAAGTAAATATGATTAAAATGAACAATACAAAATTTTTGAGCAAACCTATAATTTCCTACAATAATATCCTTTTCTTAACATGCTTATATTTCCTTATTCAATATTTTATTTAAATATTATACCTTTAAATAATTTACCTTTTTAATTCACCTGATTTATTATAACTTCTTTGTCTTTCAGCTACATGTATTTTATAATTTTATTAGGATTTCTTCTTTGACATATCTGTTAAATATATTTTAAAAATTTTTATTATGAATTTCTAATTTCCAGTTATCTTTTCGTTTTTGCTTTCTAAATGAATTGCATTTTGATTAGAAAATATTATGTAATTTCTACCCATTTAAAACTGTTGAGTCTTACTATTTGCTTCAGTGATTTGGACTTGTGGGGGCATTTTAGTGATTATTTGTGTAAGTGAAAATATTTCTTGTGCACTTTGCTTATTGAGTGTATTGTACTTTACTGTTTCAGGTCAAGTTTACTAAACATGGAAGTTTTTCTTTGTATGTTCTTGCTATTTCATTCGTGGTCTGTGGACCAAATCAGCATTACCTGGATTTTTATTCAAAATGCAGAATACTAGGGTCCATTCAGTCTTACTGAATATGCACTTAACAAAAAAATAAATAAAAATCCCAAGGTGATGTTTGAGAAGTACTGGTCCCTATCATTTCTCATTTTACAGCTTTTTTTTGATCAATTATTGAGGAAAATGTGGTAAAACTACTATGATGGCATCTCTATCTGCATTTTTTAATTTCCATGAGTTTTTGCTTCATTTCTTTATCCATTATGAACACATTAAAGCCTAAATTCTGTCCAACACCTTACATTTTGCCCCCTTTACTTGATTCATCTGCACCTTCCCCCATACTTCTTCCACTCTAGGAATCAGCGTTTTCTTTTCAGAATCTAAGGGCTTGCTTTGGTTTGCTTTGTTTTATTAGCTTTGATATAATAGTGAAATGATAAAGTATTTGTTTATCTCCACCTGAGTTACTTCTCTTATCATTATCCCACTAAGGTGTATTTTTGTTGCAAATATTATTTATTGTTTTTTATAGACCAGTAATATTTCATTGTGTTTTTTTTATCCATTTATCAGTTGATGGACACATAGATTGTTCCCATTTCTTGACTATTGTGAATAATGCTAGAGTGAATGTAGAGCTACCTACATCTTTTTTGAATGAGTGTTGCCATATCCTTCAGTTAAACACCCAGAAGTGGAATTGCTTGATTATATGGTATTTTCTATACTTAATTATTTTTTAGAAGTCACCATATCATTACTCCATAGTGACTGCACCAATTTACATCCTTAGCAATAGCATAGGAAGTATTCCCTTTATTTTCATATTTGTGGTAAGGTTGTATCTTTCAGTTTCATTTGTGTTTAGTGCATGTGAATCTGGGTCAGTTCAATAACCACAACATGCATTTGTTAGTCACTGACATTTTTTTTCTTGTGAATTCTTGTTTATCATCTCTGCTCATTTATCTATTGAGTAATTTTTCTATTTCATTTTGGTTTGTAGGATTTTATTGCATATAAATGACTTAGTTTTGATGTTCCTGGGTTTCAAATAAGTCTACCAATCTGATTTTTTTCTTTCTTTTTCTTCTTCTTCTTTTTTTAATGTTGTGGTACTTTTCAGGAGTTGCTTTAGATGGCCAAAATTTTAGTAATAGATAAATTCCATTGATTCACATTGTTAACTCAGAAACTAATTGAAATATCTTAAATATTTTCCTTTCAATGTGGAAAAAAAACCAACTTTCTTTTTCTCTTAGGAAAGAGTTTGATAAAATTAACAATGTATATATTTACTTATGTCAATCATTATCGGACCTTAATATTAGTGCTGAGGAGCAAGAAGACACAGTGGCTGAAGTTTTGAAGGAGACGGTGACATCAACAAATGAATTATATGCTTTAACAAAAACGGTGAGATTTCATATTTAAAATTTAATAAGTACTGATTTTAGTTTTGAACCGTAACCTAAAATTTATTCTCTGTTAACAATTAAATATTGTTAGCCAATATTCTGTCTATATTAGTTTCCTATCACTGCATAACAAATTACCACAAGGTTAACAGCTCAATTAGCACCTGATTGTTATCTCAAAATTTCTTTGGTTCCTGGCTCAGCTGATTCCTCTGTGGCAGGGCTTCTAGGAACAAAATTAGGGTATTAGGCAATCCTGCATTTCTTTCTGGAGACTGCAGGATAAATGTGCTTTCAGATTCATTCATTCCATTTGGGCAAGATTAACCCCTGTGGTTTTAGAACTGAATTCCTGGTGTGCTTGGTGGCCATTAGTCTTGGGAGCACCCTCAGGTTATGGAAATTGCCTGTATCTCCTGGCTGGCAGCTTCCATCAGCCTGAAACTAGGAATAATGGATTGAGTCCTCTCATACTTGGGATCACTATGACCTTCCCTTCTGACTCATTTTTCCTACTTTGCTCTTCATCATATCTCATATACTATAGTAAAAGTAAATACTAGTAAAAGATAAAATGATAAAAAATTATAATAGCATAGTAAAAGGCAACAAGATAGACATTCATGTACCAATTGGTATACCTATCTAGAGTTAAACTACATGTTTTCTTTTGTCATTTTCTTTTATTGGGCCCTTTAATTGTTTCATTCCTTTTTTTTTTTTTAAAGATTTATTTTTTTGTGCATACAGAACTGGGGTACAGGCCAAAGGCTCAGGGGGCAGCGAGAGGCTTCACCAGAGACAGAGTGGGGAGCAGAACAGGCAGATCGACGAAGTACACTGCTGAGGGGAGCAGGGGGGGGGGCGAGGGGAGTCAGGAGAGGTCTGCCATGCCATGTGGTCACCTCCAGGCAGGCAGGTGTCTAACTCAAGCGGAAGTGGCTTTAGCTTCTTAGTGCTGTGCTTTAACCCGTTGCGCCACCAGGGAGGGCCTGTTTCATGCTTTTTAAAATTAATTCCTAATTATTAGATGAGTATATATCTTTTGGGGGAATCATTTGTAATTCCTTTTGCATGAAAAATTAGCTCATGTTTTTTCCCCATTGCGATTTTGCATGAAAAATTAGCTCATGATTTTCCCCCATTGCGATATTTTTTTATAGTTTTGTAAGTATATCTGTATATTATGTTCTAAATATGTTAAATTAGATATAAAAATACTTATACCCAATTTTCTTTCATTTCTCTATAATAAATTTTGATGCAGAGACTTCCAAGGTTACTCTACTAGAGGAAACACCTTAGAACATAGTTTTTAATCATATCTCTACCTGCAAAGCTAAGGAATTGAATGAAGCAAATAGTCACAAGAATTCAGCAGCAAGTCTTTTAAGGGAAGGAGATGTATTGTGAATTTTATTTTCTTGCATAACCTGCACAGTGCTTTTCCCATATTAGGCACTCAATAAATGTTTTTTGAATGAGTAATTTGATAAAGGAAGGATGGTGGGAGAGAGGGAAAATGAAGCAAAAAAACCTGCACCCTGTGAAATGGAAAAGTACTTGGTGAGGTGGAGTGTGGAGTGTAAACTGTCAGTTACTAATTGATGATTTAATAGAACACATGTAGTTTTACTATGTGTCATTTCTTTCCAGGATTAACTGTAAGCATTCGGGAATCATAGCACAATCATAAAAGTTTTTAAAATATTATATAGTGTTGTCTAATAGTTATGACCTCAATTTCCTAATCAAGCTGTCGTTTTTCATTTTGAAAAATATCACTATCACTGTTTAATCTCTTTTGATCATCTCTAAAATGGCACGTCTGGTTCTCCTGTTATTTTTGATGGGCTCCTGTGAATGTATGTATAAGGTTAGTAATACTTTTCAATTATAGAAATCACATGGGGACTATAACACTTTCCAGGGAAGAGGGAACATGATGTTTAGATATGTTAATTTTTTCTGCATTTTGCTCATTAGAAAAACCGTTAAGCTAGATCGTCAGAGGGTATGTTAAGCACCCAATTAAAAGCAATGATGTGAATCATTTCCATGCTTTATATTTTTTGGTGTGCAATTGAAACTTCTATTTCAAGTGAAAAATAAAAGATCTGTGCTGCCTAATTGCAGATACAACCTAAGTGATTTTTAAAAATTTTAAGGCATATCATGATTCCAATTTAGTTTTTATCTAATTAGCATGCACTTTTCTCTAATTTGTGTCATTGTGTCTATGAAAACACATTTTACCTTTTTCATTTTGATGAAGAATGACATGTAAACCAGAAAACAGTTTGAAAATGGTTAAATAGTTTTAAAATATTGTCAAGATGAGTTTTTTAAATGTAAAAAAATATTTTCTAATCTTTCTTTATCCAAGTTGAATTTTAGGTAAATTCTCATAGTTTTAGGGATTTTTGTAGTCAAATTTCAAGCAATCCTTGCTTTTTTGATATAAAATCCACCTATATTTTATGTTCTTATTCTTTTGATAATAGGACATGTTTCTTAAGGATTTAGAAATCCTTTGTGATATTCACATTTTATTGAATAACATCAGGCAGCCAAATTTTTTATGTGTTATTCAGTTTGTAGAAAAAAATGACAAAAATTAATTCCTTTATTATATATTGTATCATTTATATACAAATATATATACATTAGAAATTCAGTACTTTTTATTAGCCTATTAGGCCACACACTATGTGCAGTACATATCCAAATAACATATAAAACATCAAATTACATTTTGATCCAAATTTTTAAAAATAAATTGAAGTTTATTTTATTGATTTATTTATTCTTATTGTGGTGATATTGGTTTGAAATACTGCATATGATTTAGGGCTATAGGGTCACACTCCTCAGATGTATATCATTCAGCTACACCCATCACTGAAGCACTATTATCCCTTTACTATAGACCATTGGCTCACCTCCCTTCTTAGCCTCACCCCCTCTGCCTCAGTAGCCTTAATTCTGCAGTCATAGTTCTAATATTAGTTTTGACTTAGTTTTTTTTTTTCAATTTCTTTGTTTTGTTTTTCTGTATTTCCCAAATGAGTGAATCATCTTGTGTTTTTCCTTCAAAATATTTCACTTACCATAATCCCCTACATTTTATCTATATTGTTTTGAATAGCAAGCTTTCATCTATAGATAGCTCGGCAATATTCCACCATTCATATGTACCACATCTTCTTTTTTTATTCCAGTATTTTTCTTTTTCTTTCTGGCTTACTTCACTAAGCATGATCCCTTCCACCTCCATCCATGTTGCTGCAAAAGGTGTGAGTTTATCTTTTTTGATTGCTGAGTAATATTGCATTGTGTATATGTACCACATCTTTTTAATCCAGTCATCTACTTTTGGGCATTTGGTGCCACTTCTTCTTAATCCACTCATCTGTCTTCATGATTTGGACACAGGACTGCACCTGTGTGTCTTCAACATAGCGTTTTTGCATTCATTGATAGTGGAACTGCTGTATTAGTTTAGAAAAACTCCACTTATTTACTTTTGTTTGTTCTTTCTTTGCCATGGTATTGAAACACTAAAGATAGCTCTGAAGTAAAAAAATTATTTTACATATATTTTCTTTTTTGTATCTTAGGGTTTCCGGTCTTTTATCCAAATCTTGAATCCATTTTTAGTCAATATTTGTGAATGATGTGAGAGGATGGTCTAGTTTCATTTTCTGCATGTGGATGTCCAGAATTTGTTGAAGATACTTTTACTTCTCCATCCTACACTCTTGACTCCTTCATTGTAGATTAACTGTCCAATAAATGTGGGTTTATTTCTGGGCTTTCAATTTTGTTGTATCGGTCTGTGTATCTACCTTATGCCAATTTTTTTTTTTTTTGATAACTATAACCTTATAGTTTGAATTCTGGGAGCATGATCATGTTTTTTTGTTTTGTTTTATTTTTTTTTTTTTGGTCAAGGTTGCTTTAGGCTGATTGGGTCTTTTGTGTATCCATATATATTTCAGCAATTTTGCTTTATTCCTTTGAAGAATCCTTTGAAATTTTGATATGGATTGCATTGAACCATATATTTCTTTTGGTAAAATGAACACTTCAGTTATGTAAATTCTTCCATTTAAGAGCATGGTATAACTTTGAATTCCCCGTGTCTTCTATTTCTTTGGCAATGTCTTCTGGTTTTTGTTTAATAGGTCTTTCAGCTGGATTTATTCTTGATTCATATGCTCAGTTTTAAATTAAGCATCGATTTTTCAATATATATTCCATTAATTATTGATAAAACTATCAACTTAACAAATAGGAAATAGATCTAAAGAGACTGATTTTTTTTTATGATTCCATTCAGTGGTAGAGCTAAACAACAATGCATTTTTAAATATTATTTCAATATATGAAATTTATATTCATTATGTGGGGAAAATGTGATTTATAAAAGTACATATTACTAATTTTTCTCATAAGGTACCAATTTATTATTATGTGTATATTGTATTTGTGGCATAAATATTATTTTATTTTAAAAATGTACTTAAACTTATCTAAATGTTGATTTAAAAATTGATGTTCATTATTATGTTAATGATTTTAAAAATATGCTAGGTTATAAAAAGTATCAGGAATAGATGTTGAGTATAGAAAATTCTTTGTATGCAATTTGTAAAGATAAGTTCTCATTTGACCTATTAAAATAAAAAAAAAATATTCAACCATTTTTAATTCTTGGGATAAATTCTGCTTGCTTTTGGGATAAAAGGCTTATGAGATTTTTTTCCATATTCATAAGTTACTCTATGTTGTAGTGTTCTAAATTTCTCTCTTTTTTGAGAGATTTTCTTATAAGGATTATACTAGCTTTATAAAATGAACTGTGAAATTCTTCCATTCTTGTTACTTAGGTAATTAATATAAATTTAAATCTCTTTCACTTTTAGGCCTAATAGGACAGCTTGGTGAAAATATAACTGGTGTTTTAAATTTTTTTACATGTTTGAATTTAATGCTTTTTTTTTTATGTGCACTTGCATTTATCACATTTGATCATGATTGATCTTATCAGACTACTTATCTCTTCTTGAGATTAATTCATAATTTTAATGATCATAGAGTAAGATTTTCAAATTATAATCATAATCAAATATAGGTTGCTGTGGTAACTTTGCATATCTCTTCTAATTATATATGGATTTTTCACCTTTTAAGTTAAATTTTCAAAATCTAAAAAATAGAAGTTATATTGGATTTAATCATTCTACAGTTTTCAAACTTCTAAAATATAATCATATGATCTTCTAATTCTATTTCTTTCATTTTACTCTGTTTCTTTTTAATTGTATATCTCTTTTTAGAATACTTCAAGGTTTTAGTTTTTTAATCTTTCTCTAAGAGGTATAGTTGCATTTCTTATTATCTTTTGCAGCAAAACTTGAAAGAATTTTCTTTATTAACTATTTTTGTTTCTCTCCTTGTTTTTCATTTCAAATTAGTTTTTATTGAGACTTTCACCAGCACAATGCTCTGTAACTGCTACCATAGATTCTGCTTGCTTCTTATACTCCACATAACACCTAACATGGTTTATTATACAAACTGTATCTAAAATTATTTAAAGGGACTTTTTGAATGGTACTCATATTTAATGTTCATGCCTCAAAGTTTAGAAATACTCATGTGAGAAGAAAATAATGATTTATAATCTCAATACTCAGATAAAGTCATTGCTAATATTTTGTTGTGCATAAGCACATAGACTTTATATTTTGATATAAATATAATATGTATACAGTAATCAATTGTGTTTCTTATTATACAGTATACTTCATATTATATTCTATAATTATTTTAATGGCTAATAATTTCTTAGACCCTTATTATTTATGATGGTCTCAAATTTTAAGCATTAAAAACAAAATACGATGATTATCTGTAAAACTTTTAATATCATAGTCATTTTACCAAAGTAATATTATGTTGAAAAATACTAAAATTTGAAATGTAGTAATGTACTAGAACTCAAGTAAAAAATTATGTGCCTTATCTTTCAGCTTGCCTGCATTTTCACATTGCCCAAAATTTTAAAATTTAACTTTGCTTTTTCAATACTGTTAGTAAGATTTTTATTTTTATTTATTTATTTATACAAGAACTGGGGTGTGGACCATGTGGTTTGCTCCATGGCCAGGGATCAAACTCAAGCAGCAGAGACTAGCAATAGTTTGAGGCTTTAATTTCTCTGCCACCCAGGAGGCTCCTTCAATACTTTTAATAACAATGTTATTAATTGAATTTCTTAAGTTTCATATTATTAATCCTATATATTATTTAGGATTTATTAATCCTAGATTTATTGTATGTGGGAAATTGTATGGCAACTATTTCACAATTCAAGATCTAAGTCTCTTCTTACTCTTTACCAGCAATACTGCTTTGAATATGATGCGTTTAGATTGTTTCTTTGAATATAAAATAATCTCACCTTAAACATAAAATCAATGTTGTTAGTTTGTACTTTTATTTATAATTAATTTGTATTTATATTTTTATTTTGGAGTTACATTTTTTACTCATCCATATGTACACATGTTCCATATACCCTCCATCAAACCACCCAGCCACACCTCCCACCCCTTCTCACATCTCCCTGTTCCATCTGGTAACCATTAAATTCCTTCACTAAGTCCAAAATGTATTTCGACTGTATTTGCCTGTGTGTTTTTTTAGTTATTTATATTCCACCGATGAGTAAAACCATCCAAAAATGTTTTCACTTTTGGACTTATTTCACTTTGTTTTAAGTCTATAGTTTTTTTTTTTTCACTATCACTTGTGATTTATTATTTTTTAATTTATATCTTCAGCAAACATTATTTGTATTGTAAAAAGGATAAATTTTTGAAATTTTACAAATTGGTATTAGTGAAACGAAAAGTAAGAAAAGTTACTCACATTCTTTGGCAGCACAAACACTAAAATTAGAATGAGTCCTTGCGCCAGGATAACACAAATTTGTAAAGTTTGTTAAATTGGCTAAAATGATAAATTATATGGTAAAGGATAGAAGTGGATTTTAGCAGTGAACTTAATGTGCTGTATGCATGCAGACATAATAATACATATTACATATAATATCATATATAAATACAGAGAAATGATGAATTATGGCCTTCAACCAAAACATGTTATAAATGTAATGTTCCCTCAGTAATGTTAGAAAGAATTCATGAATAAAATATTATTTTAACCCGCTGCGCCACCAGGGAGGGCCCAGATTTGTACTTTTTTGGTAATTTTTTTTCTTAACAATTTTATTAATTCTGTTATTATTAAACTACAGGTTTTCATAATTATATTTTCAGACACTTAATTGTTAATGAATAGAAATAGAACCAATTGGTATATGTGGATCTCTAACCTGGCAATTTGCTAAATTTGTTCAATTTAGTATTTTATTTTATTTTGTAGATTTCCTAGCTTTTTTTAATATACGAGATCTTTTTGCATGCAAATATTTGTGATTTTAGCTCTTTCTTCCCAATCTTAAAAAAAGTTTTCTTTTTATTATCTTTTTTTTTTTGGCTAGAACTTTATATACAATGTTTAAAAAAAAAAAAGGAGTCATGAGAATAAACTGTGTGGTTTTACTCTGGGTAGAACTGACTGAATATCTTATTAAAATTTTAGGTGACAGGCTCTCCCTGGTGGCGCAGTGGGTTAAAGTATTGCATTATGAAGCTCTCCAAAGTCACTGTAGCACAAATTCGATCCCAGGCCTGGGGGCTGACCCACATAGATGGCAGACCTCTTCTGACCCGCCCGCTGCTATCCTCAGCAGTGTACTTTGTCAATCTGCCTGTTCTGCTCCTCAGTCTGTCTCTGGTGAAATCCTCTCATCCATCATATCCGTGGCCTGTACCCCAGTGCTATAAGCATAAGCAAATAAATCTTTAAAATAATTTTTTTAGGTTATCTATACTTCTATATGGTTCTTGATTATTCTTTTGTGTTAGCATTATATAGTCCCTCCCTTTTATGCTGAACTCATTCCAAATGATTTTATGTTATGGCAAGTTTTTAATTATTGTCACTGTATTATTAATATCATTTTTTAAGTTTTAAAAAATTTATTTATGCATACAAGAACTCAGGTATAGGTCAGAGATGCCAGGGGTGAGAGGATTCACTAAGAGTGGGGAGCAGAACAGGTAGCTCCATCGAAATATACTGCTGAGGAGAGCAGCAGGTGAGACTGGAGAGGTCTGCTGTACCATGTGGGTGACGGTCTGACAATGCTGATAACAATCTGACAATTCTGAAACTGTGTGCTTTTGTACCACCAGGGAGGCCCTAGATTACTATTCTTAAAGATAAAAGCTATTAATTTCCTTATGTGTATATCCAACATCATTTATTGTAGTATTGAATAGGAACTTTTGCTGTCCTAGGTATTCAATAATACCATCTAACATTGACATTATACATTCATATTTATTATCATAATGTAACATTTTGTTTCATTATTTTTTTATAACTAATCCTTTATAAAATATGATTACTAACAATACTGAAAAACAAATATATTCTTGAGTTCAGTGGACATGTGGTCAGCATTTAGTGACTAATATATATTTTCTGTTGGTTCTCTATAATTGGATAATTTTTGCATGTGCTAGCTTTAAATTATGGAAATAAAGTAGAAATTTATAAATAACATTTTTTGTTCAAAGTTAGGCATGTTCATAATTTTATCCTTAATTTGTTGTTACACTGATTTATGTTTTAAAATTTTCTAATACTTATCAATTCTTACAACATAACTGAAATGTACTATTTCATCATGACCAATTTCTCATTTGAACACTATTAGACTTGATTTGCTATAGTTAGTCAGAATATTGCATCAGTTTCCTTAAGTTTAAATTAAAATGCACCATGCTATTATTTTATACTATTTTAATCAATATTTAACAATTTATCAGTTGCATAAATGGCACCTCTATTACATAATCTATAAAAAGATGTCACTCCATAATTCATTTATTTGTTGTATATATTTTTTCTTAGCTAAATGATTTAAAAAGAGTCTATGAACAACTAGCTTGGAAGAAAAAAACATTTGAAAATGAATATCTGCAAAAACTTAATGATTTTTATACCATGGTAAGTAGACCCTTCCTTAAATTCCACTAGAGCTACATTTTCTTTTCCTAACTCTCAACTCTTACATCTAATTTTATTATTATATAATATTATGAGATGCTAAATCATGTATGAATTCTTTTTTCATAAAGCAAAAGACATGGAGTATTGAACTTTCTAATATTGCAAAAGATTTTTCAGATATTTTAGCAGCATATAATCAATTAATGGATGAAAATAGAAAAATTGAGCTTGATATTGAAAATGTGACAGATTATATCACTAACAGGTAATTCTAAAATTATAAATTTTTATTCTTACATAGCATAACTAATAATATGTCAAATATAATTAATATCTTCATTTTGTTTTCTGTTCTCCAATCTCCTTCTTGTTAAATAAACGCTATTATTGTTGGACCCTGAGTCTGAGTGGTTTCTTGCAATTCATTGAACAGGTGAGAAGCTACAGACAGTGATCTGTTTCCAGCCTTGGGCACTGTCCCCTGCACTGCTGCAGTATGAGTTTTGTACTATTTTAAAAAGAGTTCTATTCTTACTCCCTGCTTTCTCTTTTTTTCTTTTAACATTTACCCAAGTCACCTTCCCCTTAATCCTAGATTTTTTTTGCCTTTAGCCTAAAAATAATAGCAAAAGAGCTTTCAGCAAAACACTGATGCCCATAAGTGTAGTGAGCACAATTATGAAAATTTCCCAAATTCAGACTGCTATATATTCCAAAATTCCACTAGACTACCATACTATTATAAGATGCCATTTTCAACAGTTATACTCCTTGAGTAAGTTACATGGTAACTCAGCACATGATATAATTTTCATATATACTTTGTTTTTAAAATGGTAACATTAAAAGGCAGATGTCGTGTTAGGTAACATTAAAAGGCAGATGTCGTATTATTACAGACTCGTTTAATATTCTGTTCACAGAAATAAGGAAGATATTTTTGTGCTGGGGATGATGATACGATTCTTTATAGTATTTTGTATAATTTGATAAACTTGTTTCTCAAATAAAACATCATCCTTCATAAATAGACTGTACATTTGGGACATTTCACTTTAGCAGATGTTTTCATTTGATCACTTACTCGCATGATAGTTCAGTAATCTCACTCAAGGAAAGGAAATATGATTATAGTTTTGTAATACAGGTTGAAACAAGAATGTGTTACTTCTAACTTTTTCTTTGTCAAGATTACTTTAGCTACTTAGGGATTTTGTGGTTTCACATCAATGCTAAGACTTATTTTCTCTATCTTGAAAAAAGCCATTGGAATTTTTATAAGGGAGTACACTGAATTGTTTAGGGCATCATGGAATTTTGTCATTATTAATTCTGCCAATCCATGAACACATGATTCTATTTGTCTGTAATTCTTAATTTCTTTCATCAATGTCTTAGTATTGT